TCATTTGGGCTTTTCCCACATTTCAGCATTTTTGAAGTGTGGGAAAATTTCAGTATAATTGGTCTATTAAAATTTGAGTAGCAGGGTCACTATGAGTGCACCAGAGGTGGGCGGGTTTCGTGCATCTGCCCGCATAGCAACCACTGCAAAATGATACCATGTACTTTTTTGCCCCTCAGAGGCATGAGCTTTCACACTTTTTTCCCTTCTGCTATGCCACCTTTTGTTACACTTTAAGGATATTGGCATTTTTGGGTTGTCTCAAGTCCCAGAACATGAATTCTCTAATCATTTAAAGTAACTGAAAAAATATGGTAATAGCTAGCCAGTAAAAACTAAAAAGAAAAAAGATTTTAAAGATTTTAAAAAGCAAAGTAACCCATCATTACACATCTATACATGTTTCAGAGTTTCAGTCAGTAAAATAGTTACTTTGGTTTGGTTAATCTCCCCTGGAAATGGAGTTTGTAATCAGTTCTGTCTGTCTGTTAGCAGTCTAGCATCCATTATTTTCATTATTTTCATTTTTTTTTCTTTGATGGTAGATACCAATAACAGTTCCACCTCATTTAATTTTTGTTGAAATCTGGTCAAGTTCACACCTAATGTGAAAATCAGCAAAAATTTTGTATTACTCACAATTTTTCCAAATCCAGAAAATTTCTCTCCACAGATAAAACTCTCTTTATTAGTTATGCACATCAGGAGATCCAGGAATCTGGAAACAGCGAAAACAGGTAAGGCCAAAAAAAAAAAAAAGTAGTGTGATGGACTGAGTCACAAGTGTTGGTATCTCACAAACACCCACACTGATAGATAGAAGAGATAAAGAATAAGGAGAAGAAAGACAGATAAAAAGGATGAGCCAGCACTATCTTGTCTATTTAGTATTTTTACTACACTGTGTTAAACTGGGAAATGGGTGAAGGTTTAATTTCTATCGCCATCAACAGCATATAATTTCCTAGGCCCTAGAACCTGTAGAGAAACAGTTTTCTTGTATATTTACAGTACAGTTTGTGGTACTACATGTATGCACATAGGAAACATACAGACCAATCACGTGCATTGTAACTCATCACACATGAAGCTACTCAGCCAATCATTTAGTTTCTTCAGTGCAACCCTGCGAACACGTGTGTGTGCAAACAGAGAAGTCTGAGAGGAGATGAAACGCAGAAGTCCAAAGACAAAAGTAAAAGCAACAGAGAGAGAAAAGCGGTCGGTAAAAGCTGTTCTTAATAATTCTTGATGTGACTGAGGATAAAGAAGATGAAGAAACTTCTCTTTCCCTTTTTAAATGAAACATTTTTTTATGACAAAAGCTCATTTATTTTAATTTTGAATGTAAAAGAACATTGTTCAATTTTATTATTATTCTATTATTATAGAATTCTTGAGTTCATGGTGAAATAATAAGCATAGTTCAAAGTATTATTTAACTGAATGTTTTTTCTTTTATTTGAGAGCCTGTTGTTTGACTACATACAGACACTGATACAACTATTAGGCTACCTCAATATATATTATATTGAATTATGTGTTACTTTGTAATAACCGAAAATATTATAAAACAATAATACTTCTGGACCTTAATTTGAGGACTTTTTCTTTAATTGGACTTAGATTAGCTTAGATTTTAATTGTCCTGTCTTCGGCCTATATTATTACTATCAAATAACACAATTATTTACCTGAAATTTCTCTTTAGGTAGTAGCTTATACTGAGTACTCAGGGAACTGTAGGGGAATTTTTGCTGGTTAACTTAACCCAGCTGTTTCCTCTTGGTGGTTTCATATTTACTTTTTTTGTTTCTCTTTTTGTCGTATGTCTGTTTGTCTGTACCATCAGTTGTTCATATATATATATAT